AGGCCACGCTCAGCTTTTTAGCGCAGAGCAACTTCCCGGAGTCTTCACGGAGACTTCAGGGTTGTCTACCGCTGACGAAGCTTCTGTGAGAGAAGCGAAACGTCCTTTTTTGCTTTTTTTGTTTTTTGTTTTTTTTTTTTGTTTTTTTTTGTTTTTTACCCACAGGTACAGATGACGACTGACAGAACCCTTTCTACGATGGAACTTTCCTGTACGACTGAGAGCCTCCACAAGCAACATTGCTCTTGAAAGGATGATGGAAAAAGATTTTTTTTAATAATGAAGCTAAATACTGTGGCTGGGTCTCTGGGGTGCCTGCCTGTCCATCAAATTGGAAATGACACAACCCAATAACTCTTCAGTGAGCTGACTATTTCTCAAAAGGGGCCAGGGAGACTGGACGACACCCTAGACTGGTCACCAGCCAATCACAAGGCACGATGACCATCCACACTCACATTTACACCCCCACGAGCAGACACCGTCAAACACAAATTGCATTTTTCCTGACATCAGCCTTGCTGCAGAGCACAGGTAGTGTGTTGATCCTTGGCGTATTTTGACAAAAGCGTGTCACGTTGTTTTAAAATGTGAACAAAAGAGAAATGTCGATAAACGCCCCTTCAACGGTGCGCCACGCTCACCACATCACGGAAGACCACGGCACGCAGGCGGTTGATGTCCACATCCTGCAGGAGGCGATCGGGGTCCTTGATGGGAGACAGCTGAATAGGGACACGTTGGATGCAGTGAGTGTAAAAACTGGCGCATGAAACAAAAGGCAATGAAACACTGTCTATTTGAATACCAAAACATGTCATTTGGCTGGGTCTGATCGCAAAATGCTAACATATAATTAACACCATGGATGGAAATTAAATGAGCTACTTTATAACCCACAAGGTTTGGCAAAATGCATAAATAAACGAGAATAAAACATGATATATTTTCACACCGTGTTCAATAAAATGTCATTTTGTTTCACAGCTAAGAGCAAGCTCAATGCTAAATTATATCATACATACAAACAAGTGCTACTTCAACACACAAGAAGCAGCATCGCACGTATCCAAAGACAATTTGAACATTTGAACACCAAAATCAAACCAGATCGCATATTCAAGCGCAATTAGACGGACAGGCATATGGTGGGCTTCTTCGGGGACCTTCTCTGCTTCTCCTTTTCTTCTCTTAATTATGCTGCATGCACATTCGGTGGACAGCAATTCTAAAAGTGTTCAACGGCTCCCTCTGGCGGTACGCAAAATAATTACCGCCCAAGTACAGTTCAGTTCGATTGAACATTTTAGTGCAATGCATTTGCATTCAATATTGAGGAAAAGTTTCTTTTTAAATTCGCATTTTGCTGTACCTTTTATTTATTTGTTTATTTATTTATGTGCAACACATTCGAATTAAATCGTTATTCGACAAGTAGCAAATCATCATCCAGCGGGGGACGCAGGAGGTGAACGGCGACGGGGTTTTACTTTCAGTAAATCAAGAGCGGGAGAGCGCCAGTGGTCACATGCCCGTCGCACGGCACGTTTTTCTCATTTTTCCAATTATTAGTATTATTTTATTGATGATCAAATGTTGTCATACTGGACCTCGTGGGGACTCACAGTATTTGGTGGCATGTCCTGGCACTTGTTGTTGGTAGCGAACGGCATGTTCCCGCAACCACCGTGCCGCTGCCTGCACTCCAGACAGCTCCTCACTGCCATGCAACACACTACGCACGCACGCACGCACGCACGCACACACGCACGCGCACACACACACACACACACACACACACACACACACACACACACACACACACACACACACATTCAATCATCTCAGTCTAAATGAAATGCTGATAACAGGCAAGTACTGCCATGACTTCTGAGTTCAATTTGCGCCGTGACTAAGCAAGTAACTCAATTCATTTGCATATCAAATCATCACACACAATGGTACCGATGTGTATTTTGCCTTTTAGGGGCGTGGCCTGGTGAATACGGAGCTAGGTCAGGTTGGTGATTTTCGAACATCTGCTCCCTGCTTCTTGCCAAGTGTTTTGAGCTTACCGAGTCTCAGGCACTGACGCATGAGGCCGCCGGACGACATGTTCTTCTCCGCCTCAATCTCGCTGAAGTTGAGCGAGCTGGAGAAGACCAGCACGTCCACCATCACCATCAGACGAGACAAGAAGGTGATGGCCGTCTCCGACGACATGCCCTGCGTCGCCTCGATGTTCTCCACCTCGACAGGAACGAAGAAAACAAAGACAAAGTTGATATATTATGTCTTTATATATTCACATGTGATTGCATTATTATTATTATTATTATTATTATCATTATGAAAACCTGTCGGAGAGGAAAAAAAACAGGGCTCATTCATAAAAAAAAAGCAATGCTTTATTGTACCCTTTGCCACAACACCATGGGGTATCTAATAGGGCTGAAAAAAAGTATTTCAAACAAATCATGTTGTGTGCAGAACCCATTCGCCCACTAGGTGTCACCACAGCCTCACAGTGAGCACGTACAGACGGAGAAGTCGCGGCTGAGAGCAGCGGCAGGATGCCACCGCAGGCAATGATGATGTTGTCCACCATCTGCGAGATGAGGTGGATGGTGTTGTGGACGAAAATGATGTTCTCACTGCTGTTGACAAAGTCCATGACAGACTTGCTGGAATGGCTGCGGCCGAGAGAAAGAAAGAGCCGTTATTGTACCCTGTTAAGCGAGCTCCCCGTGGACACACGCCAATACGTGTGTGCGCGAGCGCGCGCCGACCTCCTCCAGACGTGCACGTCGCTCTCCAGGGCAAAGAGCAGGTCGGCCAGGAGCCTCTGGTGCAGGGCCGACCACTTGAACTCCGGGATGCGGAACATGGTGGTGCGAGGGCCCGGGCTGAACTGACGCCTCTGCTGCTGCTGTTCGTACTCCCGCTCTGGCAGGGCGCCGTCGGCCCGCAAATCGGCTCTGTCCGCCGGACTGCCAAATCGGCTGTTTAGGCTCTGAAAGAGAAGAGTCGTTTGTAATGCGGACAAAGAGAGGGTTGAATGACGGTCAGATATGATACTCTCATAGTTAGATGATTAGATGGTGAGTTAGAGTTAATGGGGCTGAAGCTGAGCAATTCATCGAACCGTGATTGCACATTTGGTGGCCAGGATTAAATTAACACGATCGTTGGCGATATTTCCATTTAACATGCAGGCTTAGCTACGAATCTAATCAAGCACTTTTTCAAAGTCTAGTCAATTTTCAGATTTTTTGTTTTTGTTTTCATCATTACTTCTAACATGATAATCTACTTTTTCCAAAACTCATATTTTCATTAAAAACTTTACATGTTGTCTGTTGAAAGGTAGAGCAATAAAAACGTTTTTCCCTCACATTATGGATAACGTCATCACGTTAATTATCGTGATGACAACATTGGTCAAAACATTTGTGATTTTCATTTTGGCCAAAATTGTCTAGTTATTTTAGTTGAATGGATGGATGGATACTAGTTATCTTAGCATACGAGTTGTTTAGATAGATGGATGATACTCGTTAGCTTACCATACTAACTGGTTAGATGTATGGAAGGGTGCTAGTTAGCTTATCACACGAGCTGGTTCGGTGAATGAATGATGATGCTAGTTAGCTTAGCATGCTAGCTGGATAGCTAGCTAGATAGATAGATAGATAGATAAACTATGTTTGTTTTATTCAAGCCGTTTCATAATTTTTTCTCGCGTCAGGTAAAACTGCGTACGCTTCATGAGAAATGACAGCACTGAGTTCATTCACAAGGAATGATGAAAATGCAACGTGTCCCTCAGACGACCTCCCTCCCAGGCGGCATGATAATAAATGACGACAATAACAACAACAACAACAACAACACTTCAGTGCTGCCAATATACATGAAACGAATGAGTCAGCAAGGCGCAACAAAAAGCATCCTGTTAAAATGCATCAGCAGCAGTGAATTGAACACAAACTCAAAAAGTCATTTCTTGATCATCAGCATCATGGCGGGAATCCACAAAGGCAGCATGATGGCATCGTGGTAAGCACGTCTGCCTCACGGTCAAGAAGTACAGAGTTGGAATCTCGGCTCAAGTTGGTCTCCCGACATGTACAAATTTCCAAGCTCATCTGTCCGTGTCAAAAATTGGAATGTGGCCCTTGCTTCCCCGCGTCTGGAAAGCGCGTTTGCATTCCTTCTGCAACATGACTGCTTTTACCTTTAGGAAAAGCAGCGTCGTGAATGACTTTGATTCTCAGCATACGTGTAATCTAACCTGCGTGGTTGTCCTGGTTTGAATCTTTATCTCCTTGCCGTCCTCCGCTGCGTCTGAGGGCTTCTCGCTCCCGCTCCACAGGGCAGAAACGTCGCCTTTAGAGGGCACCGCAACGCTTCCCTGGTCAGCCACTGGGGTTGAGGCCCCCTCCGCCGAGTTGATGCCCTGGACTTCGAGCTCGTCCTTTTCCAAGATGCCAGGTAAGGAGGCAAAGTCAGAGGTGGCCAGAAGGCGCAGATCTTCGCCCGGTTCCAAAGGATGAGCCGGGTGCAAGTCGGGCAACAAAAAAGCGCTGCCCTGAAGGACGCCGTCTTTGTCGTCGTCCAGCGAGATCAGAGGAGCCGAGATCCGCCGGTCCGCCGGTCCGTTCTTCGGCAGCATCACGGCGCCGTAAACGTCGTCCAGCAGAGAGCCCACCTCCATCAGCGGGTCCATGTCGTCCATCTTCACCTCTGTTGCTTCCACCTTCTCCGCTTTAATGTCCACGAGGAGGTGCTGGACTTCCGCTGCGACGCCGCCCACCACCGCCGCCGCCGCGCTCTCCTCCGGCTTCCGCCCGTCGGCCAAGGCGTCGTGCGAATCGGCGCCGTCGCTGCCCGGCGAGCGGGAGCTGCCATCCATTTCTGCGATCTCCACCGAGGCCGTCATGCCGGCGGCCTGAGCCGACAGACCCGAGATGGTGCTGACCGAGCCTTTCTTCCCTTTCTTGATGTTCACCTCTTCTTGACGCTGGTATTCGTCGTACATCTTGGCCAGGTACTCCTTATGTGCCTCATATGTCACCTGCGAGGCACCGTATACACAAATTCGGAAATAAGTAGTGCAGTAATCCCTCATCTATTGTGGCGGTTACGCTCCAGACCACTCCCGTGACAAACGCAAATCGATTTGGACCGGCTCGCCTTGGCAACTGTCATTTTTTTTATCACTTCACTCATGCAGCGGCCGGTGTGTCAGAAGCTCGCTCGCAACTCAAGTCTAAGCTCCAAACGCAAAGCCAAGTTGATTCCTTTGGTGGGCTAAATACTGTGCAAGCGTGTCTGATGTTTTGTCCTGTGAAGCGCCGACGGATCCAGAGAAAGCCTGGACATGCAATCCTTGGATCAAATTCTTCCGAAAGCCAATGTTGGTTTTCATGGCAATGCAGATGACACACAGCGAAACTAAACCAGTAAAAAAAAAAAAAAAAAAGCGCTCATTTTTTTTGGGCAACGGCGATAAGAGGATGTACTCATTCCCCGCAGTGCTTCATTCACGTCTTTCAAAACATTTTTAAATGGTGTCCAAAATCTTGTTCTTGCACTGTACGTTCATTTCGTAATTTAACTGAGCTATTTTTTTTTTTACTTTGCTTTAAGACATCTTGAGCTCTTGTTTATAAATGTTTAAATGTCTTTTGAATCGTCACCTTGTGTCCGAAATGTGCAACAAAAATAAAGCTGCTTTGTTTTTTGGGGGGTTTTTTTGTGGGGTTTTTTTTTTTTTTTTGTGACTTACCTTGGAGTGCGCGATGGAGAGCGTGTCCACCCACACGCGCCAGCCCCCCCACTCATGCTTGATGGCGTGGTACAGCAGGATACGGAAGATGTTGTATACCATCTCGGTGACCTTCTGCTCGTCCGGACTTTTTGGGTTGATGTAGCCCAGAGAGAACATCCAGTCCTGCCACACCGAACACTGCAGCAGGCATCTGCGATCCGGGATGGCGCAGTCAAAGGTCAACTATTAGAGCCAGGTCGACATTTTGACGCGTGGTTACAAGGCTAGCACCTTTACGGCGCATTCCTTTTTTACTTGCAGTACCCTAGGCGAGAATTTCATGACAGGCCAAAGTGCTCCGTTCCATTTTAATGCGAAATACAGTCCAAAAAAAAAAATATCTGCGTAAGCTCAAAATGCACGTTATCTGACAATACAAAAGTAAACAGCAATCCAGAACACAAACAGGAATCATTACTTCGCCCTCTTCAATCTGTGCATTTGGGAGAGGCCAATTTCATGCGGTGTTTTTTTTTTCTTTTTTTCATGCCATGTTGCCCAATTGTGCCACTTGACAGCAAAACATTGGAACACTCACACGTTAGCACAACAATTAACTTTCCTTTCTGCTGCTTTTCTGCCAGTGATTGCAGCAAATGGGTTTTAAAAGAGAGGGGGAAGGAGTTGAACAAATGCATTCTGATGTCAGGATTACAAGGAAGAGTGGGCAGAGAGTTGGAGGGCGGGGGGGGGGGCGGCAGGGTAACTGCAATGATTTTGTTTTATTTGTTAATTAACACTGTGAGGCTTTTTCATCTCTCGCAATGGGAAAACTATTTAACGAGTCTTTTTACGCTCACATGAGCCTCCAGCGACAGCCCAATGTCAAATGTATACTTGACAACAATAACATTCTTTGCAAATGTTGCCAAAATGCCCGTGAAATTCTTTTATCAAAATCGCACAATCCATGAAGAATGAACACAAACTTTGAGCCCTATTTTTTCCAGCCTCATTTTTTTTTTCAGACAGTTTTGAGGATGTAGGCCTGTCTCATCCATACGAGACACGACTCACCTCGCAACCTCCTCGACCGCAGGGCCATCCACGAGCAGGCCGACGTTGCCATGACGACCGGGTGCAGAGCCAGAGCGTTTTAACGTGGTGGGCGGCCACGACTTGCCCGTGCTCGAGGGCCCGTCGAGACAAGTGCATGCTTGATACCGTCACTTGTGGCGGCAGCACTTCGTTATAGTCACGCCGCTATCCCCCCAACAGTTGCGACTGGTTTCGAAGGCGGTGAAGGTTGCCCTCGCGTCAGAGTTTGTCAGAGTTCGTTCAAGGTCACCCATGTTTGTTAAACGCTCGCCAGACATTTGTCCAGACTTTTCTTGTGATGAGAAAAACGTTTTTTTTTCTTCCTTACACGCAATAATAAGGCTAATCCAATGCCGAGAAACGAACAGCATTGAAGACGTAAGCAAACGCGCCTGTCGGAAGATGATGAGATGATCAATGCGAGCCCGGCGCAAGCTTCCCTCGCTCCTCCCTTGACGCGACGATCAGGAAGATAATTGAGGGAGCGTGTGCGAGGGAGGAAGTGGCTCTCCCGCTTACCGTCTGTTCTCTCGGCTGCTGCTGAACAGTTTGATCATGTCGGAGAGGAAGAGGCGGCGGATGTCCATCAGCTCGGCGCTGGGGGCCGAGTTCTTTAATAGGGTCGCGATCACTTTGAGGATCACTGTTTACGACGAGCCCACAAACACACAAACAGGGGGGGGGAGCGCTTCAGACCTCAACCGACTGTCACGCCACAGTCAGGAAACAAAAACACACAACAGTTGGCCCTGCTCGCAGTGCGTTCAAATCAAAAGCATAATTCACGCCGTTGAATAATGGAAACAGGGAATGAGTCATACGAGAGATGATCTTGATATTGGAAGGATATCGCTGACGTGATTGCTGAGCGAATGATTCATTGATGTACCGATTGTTAATAATGAACACAAATAAATACATACATGGAGTTTCTTTTATGAATGAAATAATACTGCATTTGTGTTCTGTTATTGTTGATCATTAAATGTATTTCAATTTGTGAACCGATTCGGTCATAAAAATGCTACTTTTGTTTTTCTTATTGACAATAAATAACGGAAACATTTTTCAAATGAGATCAATAAATACAAAATGAAAATGTATTTTTGATCATAAATAATAGAGCAAATACTGCAGGAGCCAAGATTAATGCAGCAGCTCGGCGGCTCAGATTAAAGAACAGAGCGAGCCGCGTATCAAGTCCGTCCGTCCTCGGCCCACCTGCGCGTCGAACCGGAGACTTACTTGGGTTCTGAATCCTGACAGTGGAGTCGGGCTCGGCGTGCGGTTTGTGGACCACCTGCGTGCACACCTGCTCCGTGAGAATCTGACGTGGGAGAAGAAGACAACGATGGTCACGCTGCCGTCGGCGTCGCGATTGCGCGGCGACGCGGCTTACCTCGTACAGCGTGTTGTAGGTGGTCACGGTCATGCCGCCGCCGCCGCCGCCGTGCAGCAGGAGCTTCTCGCCCAGGAGGGTGAAGAGGCTTTGGGTGTGCATGATCTCCACCTTTCGTCTGTGTGGAAAAATTATTTTGAAATACACTGCCTTTATTTTGAAAATGTTATACCAGATGTTTTTTGTTTGTTTGTTTTTTTGAAGTCAGAATCACTTACTTGTGTCCCAAATGTTTGAGGAAGTAGGCAAGCACTTTGAGGGACTGCACTTGAATGCTTTCACTCTTGGATGCCAGAAGTTTGTAGAGCACCCTGCCAGACACACAAAAGACAAAAAAACAAAACAAAACAGCGGAGGCGCTTCTGGGTTGATTTTGCCGCCATGATCGCTTGACTGTGATCAAGTTGAACAGCTAAAGCCCGGTCGCGGACTCACCGTATTCCGTTTCTCTGGTCGAAAGCGGGGATCATGGAGGCCGGGTGCTCGGACATGAGGGCCACCAGCAGCTGTAACACGTCGTGGAGGTTCTCGTCCTACAGACAAAATTGCACAGGAGAAGGTCAAGCTTTGAAACCTGCAGTGCATCTTAGTCAAGTTCATTCACGTTATTGCTCAGGGATGGCCGATTTTTTTTTTTCCCCTACCGAGGGCCACACACAGACAAATGGATGTGCCCATGGTGAATGCAAGCGTGTGATCTTTGGATCCGAAAAGTTGGATCACTCCTGAACAATTTGATCCCCTCCTTAGTTTTAATTGTAGTCTCAAATGCTGTTTTTTTATCCAAAGGACAGTAAATGGTCATTTTGTTGGCAGCGTTTTTAGGCTGCATAGGTGGGTGCGTTCTGGATGAACCAGCAAAAATTCCCGCATTCTGAAGAACTTGTTCAAAGTCTTCGCAGATGAGTGTCAATGCTTGGAGCTTCAAAAAAGATCAAATCAAATATTTTGATCAGGGGCGGCAAGGTTAGTATGTCCAGCACGGCCGCGACCCTCATGAGGATTAAGCGCTGCGGATAATGGATGGATGGATGGATGGATAATTTCATCAATGTCAGCTTCCGGTAGGAGCGAACTACCGCACGGGGAACCGTGGAGGAGTCTTGGGCAGCTCAAAAGTGCCCCAACAAGTGAAGACACATGCCGCAGCGTACCTCATGCATTGTTAACAAATAGTTGAGGATGCTCTGGAGCTCGTCTTCCTTCACACCTCGGTCCTGAAATTCAAAACATGGGAGATGTGAATTAAACATCGATAGGGGACAGTGATACAGAAAGGCAAATTTTCATCAGCGAATGCGGCAAGAATGACAAATCCTGTACCCCAAAATCTTTTTTTTTTTTGTACGGGATTTCTTGTGTTCGGTCTTGGATTGTACATTTTTTTTTGCTGCCTAATTTTCACTGCCATTTCACAAAACTCTCATCTCAGCCACACTCGAGCTGATCGGCGCTTATCCGGGATTGCTTTTCCTACTTCGCTTTTGTGACGTCACGGGAGAGGGCTTGTTCTCACATCAGAGCTTGACGACGGTGCCGAGGTATTGCACCTCTGGCTGTTGTGAACCGTGATTTACAAATCGGAATCGTCCAATCCTACCCGGTTTGTATGATGAAAATGTGCACGACAAATATGTACGTCGATGGCATTAAAGCGTTGGATTCTTTGAGTACATTCTAAAAAAAAAAAAAAAAAAAAACAATACAGCATCAAACCGGTAACATTTCGTTTTGGGCAATAGCTAGCTATGTAGCTGCCTTGGCGCGCGAGTGATCCAGAGGGGTTTCTTGGGACAGCAACACGAGGTGGGGAGTGAAATGAGGTGACGTTCAACTCTCATGTGCCGCTTTTAGACGACACTCCGGCTTGAATATGGCTACCGTGAAAAATAAATAAAACACGCCAGGACAAACTGTGCTTCTATTTTGAAGCAAGAGCTTGGCAGGAAGATAAAGAAAGGAGACGAGCAGACGCCTTTAAAGGCTAAGACAGAGTCGGGCTCGTGGGGGGCTTTGAGGCACGGAGGCGGCTGGGAGATACCTTCAAGATGAGTTGTTTGAGAAAGAGAAGCATGGAGGCCCGCAGAGAGATGATTTCTTTCTGGGTCGGCCTTGGACCATCTGGAGCGAAAGCGAGAGGGAGAGACAAAGAGAGAGAGAGAAAGAGAGAGAGCTGAAGCGCAGCAACATGCACATAATGTACAGCCGCCACGCTTGTTTACATTGCTGTTTTCTTATTTTACTCTTGGTTGGTTTTAACCCATAAGAGCCCACGGTGACACCAGTGCGGGCAATAACTAACTAGCTATGTGGCTGCCTCGGCGCGCGAGTGATCCAAAGGGGTTTCTTGGGACAGCAGCACGAGGTGGGAAGTGAAATGAGGTGACGTTCAACTCTCATTTGCCGCTTTTAGACGACACTCCAGCGTGAATATGGCTACCGTGCCGATTCGAGAGAAAAAAAAATAAAGATAAATAAAACACGCCAGGACAAACTGTGCTTTGCGGAATTACCGTTTGAAGTCACCATAATGAGCTATCCATGCCTGGCCGGCATTTGGAAGAAAGGGCTCCATATTTTACACACATTTTCCACGCTTGGCTTCGCCTTGAACAGGATTTTTTTTTCCCCTTTTTAATCATATGAGGTTGTGATTAAAAAGAAAAAAAAAAAGCACGTGAATCAACTTTCCAACATTTACAACATCCTGAACGTGGAATGAAAAAACAAGTCGTGTCGCAAAGGTGATCCTCCGGAAGTCTAATAAAAAGCGACCGTGCACAACTCCACCTTGGCCGTTCATGCGGCGACAAAGCCAAAAGCCACAGAGCTCCGACAAACAGTAATCAATGACGAGGCTCCCCGGGGACAAGGCTACCGGTTAAGCATCTCGCCGGTGATGAATAGAGAGGAGGGGGAGAAAAAAAAAAAAACACTGTGCCCTGATGAGAGTCTGACGGGGAAGAGCTGATAAGAGCATCATTAGCGGCCGCCGATGCGTCGGAGTTATTCACAAGCAATTATGTTCAACAGCTCAGCGCGGCTCTTGTTTCTCCCGATGGCAGATTATACGGCGCTCCTCGCATCACCTCCCCTTTTTAATTATAAGAGGTTGTGATGAAAAAGAAAAAAAAAAGCACGTGAATCAACTTTCCAACATTTACAACATCCTGAACGTGGAATGAAAAAAACAAGTCGTGCCGCAAAGGTGATCCTCCGGAAGTCTAATAAAAAGCGACCGTGCACAACTCCACCTTGGCCGTTCATGCGGCGACAAAGCCAAAAGCCACAGAGCTCCGACAAACAGTAATCAATGACGAGGCTCCCCGGGGACAAGGCTACCGGTTAAGCATCTCGCCGGTGATGAATAGAGAGGAGGGGGAGAAAAAAAAAAAAACACTGTGCCCTGATGAGAGTCTGACGGGGAAGAGCTGATAAGAGCATCATTAGCGGCCGCCGATGCGTCGGAGTTATTCACAAGCAATTATGTTCAACAGCTCAGCGCGGCTCTTGTTTCTCCCGATGGCAGATTATACGGCGCTCCTCGCATCACCCAAGGGCAGGCTGAGTTTATTGAAAAATGATTTATTTCCGTGTGATTAATGCAGTCATCGCCTTGGGTTCATGACGGATGGTGGTTATGTCACGGCATGGACGGAAATCAAAGCCTCCTGCAGGGTCTTGGAGCCTTTGATGGGGCTTGCAAAAAATTGGACAGTGGCAGCGCCAGAATGGAACATAAAACAGTTCTGAATTTGTTCCTCTGCCACCGACATAAACTTGTTATTGACTGTACATACAGAAAGAGAAAAAACAAAAATGGCCCATATGCCTTCTTGTTACACCGAGAACCACCGTCGTGGATAAGATTCAAGTACAGAAGTGCAGTGGGCCCAAGTGTTCAGCAAAGACGAGCCATTGATTTTGATGCCGTACTTTAAGGAGCTGTGAGGAAAATAACAGCAGCGAATAAACGTTTAAAAAAACAGAAAGATTATAAAGATTACATGTCAAAGTTTGGCACTAAAAAGTTAAATTCAAATGAAGTCTAATATGTACTGACATTCACCGGGGACCTGTTCATGCATTTTTGCCTTTTTGCATCATGCTTTGAATGGAGTCCAAAAATGGCGCCATCTGGTGGACCAAATTGAAACTAAAATAAGTCACAAATTTGCAGTTCGGCGTTCAGCTTCGAAACAATCCTCCGATCTTTGTGATCTGTTTTTGTGCTCGGGCCAAAGCAGTAACAGTATCGCTTTGCCGCCATCTGGTGGCATCCAAAGTTAATTACAAATCCTTCCACGCGGGTTGCCAATTGTGGATTTTCGCCATTTGTGCAAAAAATGCTTTTGGCGGAACAAAGCCACCTCCGATTCAAAGTTGCTGTTGTCATTTACGAGCCCGCACAAATGGAATATGAACGTCGACAAAAGATCATCATGTCCGATAACCATACTCCGAATGACGTACATTCTGTGCGCTCCTCGGGACTTTGGAGGTGTAAATATTGGCGGTGTCAAGCAGGGACACTTTTGAAAAAGCACCACAATTAACCGTCCGTGAGGGTAATCCATCAGGTTGAGCATCAGTGAAAGCCTTCAAGCGACATTAGCCCTGGGAGGGCGCAAAACGGCGCACGAAGACAGCGAGAGCGCGAGAGAGGCGCCGTGACGAGCAAAGCGGCTTTTCATTGCTCATTAGCGAATGACGGCTGCGCGACAAAGGCGGAGGGGCCATCGATTGAGACAGACGACGCCGTGGCTCAAAAGGAACTCGGGGAGGCTCAAGCCCCCCCGGGGGCGGCCAAATCCTTCCACGTGGGATGTCAATTGTGGATTTTCGCCATTTGTGCAGAAAATGCTTTTGGCGGAACAAAGCCACCTCCGATTCAAAGTTGCTGTTGTCATTTACGAGCCCGCACAAATGGAATATGAACGTCGACAAAAGATCATCATGTCCGATAACCATACTCCGAATGACGTACATTCTGTGCGCTCCTCGGGACTTTGGAGGTGTAAATATTGGCGGTGTCAAGCAGGGACACTTTTGAAAAAGCACCACAATTAACCGTCCGTGAGGGTAATCCATCAGGTTGAGCATCAGTGAAAGCCTTCAAGCGACATTAGCCCTGGGAGGCCGCAAAACGGCGCACGAAGACAGCGAGAGCGGCGCCGTGACGAGCAAAACGGCTTTTCATTGCTCATTAGCGAATGACGGCTGCGCGACAAAGGCGGAGGGGCCATCGATTGAGACAGACGACGCCGTGGCTCAAAAGGAACTCGGGGAGGCTCAAGCCTCTCCGGGAGCGGCTGCCGTGGCTTTTGCGCATAACGGCATGATATACGGCTTTCATTTGAAAGGCCTCACTATTAAAAACCCGAGGCGGGGAGCTTCGACATCCTCCCCGTGTCGCTATAATTGAACACTTCATTACCTGCGCCGCTCTCTCTTTCGAAGCGTCTTTGTTTGCTCATTTCTCAGTCGACGATGACGGAGACGCCAAATCAAGCTGAGGATTAATGGAGGCGGGATATAACGCCTGCAGGAAGAAAGCCATCCCTTTTGAGATTCGTCTTCGCGCCCGACGACGACTTGAGTCTTGGTGCGAGGATCCGTATGCCGTCCATCTGCTCCGATTCGCTTGAGACTGCTGCGTAACGACGAAGGTGTAAACCGGCTTCGTTTGCGCCCTAAAAACAAGACAAGCTACGCGGTCGACTTCCTGAAACGCGCTAAAGTTGGTCAAGAAAGCAATGACCGTGTTTTCACGACTATAGGGCGCACTTTTGCCCTCGTCGGAGTCGTTCATTTGCTAAAAAAAGATGAAAAACGATTCCGAAAAGGAAAGGAAAAAAAAAAGATGATTAAATCTGTGCTACTGCTGCCCTCGTCTGAGACGTTCATTTCTCAAAAGAAGAAAATGTTCATGTTGCACTTGCCTATAAACATGTTAAATAGTATTTCATATTTTTTTCATTGAATATATTACTGTTCGTTTTTTTCAGAATCTTTCATTTACTGGAGAATTAACAGCCAGTGATTTGCTTTCCAACATCATGAAGCTATTGATCGAGCTCTCGCATTAGCTTTTATTCTGTTTGTTCAGGTGCAGCTTAAGTTGTAAGCAATGAACATATTGCACTGCAGCACATCCTAATTGGCAATAAAACGTGAGATACGCGAGCTAAATTGCACCTGTGGTTTTAAAAATCGTTTTACGAGCTTCCATCATGCAAGTTTCCTTTCACACAAAGACTCAAGACCTCATTTGTGAAGCTGCGAGTGTGCCGTTAGCATTACACAGCTAACCCAAAGCTAAAAAGGTCACCGCCATTCTTAGCAGGGAATCAATGAAAGAAATAGAGGCCTCTGCTCATCTCTGGCAGGACCTGTGGGAATCCGTCTTCGTCCCGCACTGTCAGACGCTAATGTATTCCGAGAAATTAGCCGTGAAGCGTGTCGCTAACAATGGAAGAAATCACCCCGCGACAAGTGTTACGCGCTCAAGATGAAAGCTTTCACCGCCAGGGAGGTGATTACATCACGGCAGGCCGTGGGATGAATAAAAAAAAGTCACGGGTGATAGGATGCTAATAAAAAAAAAGGAGAATGAGAACGGAGAGTGAAAGTGACAGTTCAAGGACACTTTCACCACACTGCTGTGACTGACTTCACTCCTTTCACCGCCACTGCTGAACTCACTCTGGAAGTCAACTCAAGTGTCTTTCTGGAGCACTTTAAAACAACCGCCGCTGGATACAAAGTGCTGTACATGGAGCAAAAACAATTCATACAAGAACAAACAATAAAACTATAACTGAACAAGAGAGAGAGCAGAAAGCACAAAAACAGTCAAACTCAAAATGAAGTCTCATGCGAAGTTAAAAGCCAAAGAAGAAAAATGATGAGTTTGAAAGATAGGCAGCGAGGTGACCGGCAACGGAAAAGGCTCGATCACCTCAGAGTCACCGCTTAGTTCTCAGAACCTCTAATCGTGTCTGCTCTGCAGACCTGAGGCACCGGGCGGGTCCGTAGTAGGGGTTTGAAAAACGATTTGGAAACAAAAGAACTCTAAAATGTGAGCAAGCGAAGGGATGCCAGAGTCGGAGTGATGGGCTCCCTTCTTCCAAGTACCAGTCAAAAGGCGAGCAGCAGCGTTATGGACTAACTGGGGACACTAAATGGAGGATTGAGTGAGACCAAACACCATCACCTCTGTCTTGTTTTCATTGAACTTTAAGAAATTTAGTGCCATTCAGTTCTTGATTTCCTCCAGACAGCTGCCAGCCACAAAGTCAGCCCTCAGTTCCCACACACGGGATCTCGGGTTCAGGCTGGACCTGAACCCGAGACCGCTTTGTCGACTGTCTTAGTGACTCTGTCGGTGCTGCTGTTTTGGCTGAGCAGTTATCATGTGGGCTGGATGGAGATGCCGAAGCGAACTCACCGAGACCCTTTGCGGCGATGCCGCTGCCGCCTGCCGGGTTGACGGCCCAGTAGTAGTACTTGAGCGTATGCATGAGCTGGAGCACCGTGCCGCCACGCCGGATGGTGCTGTCGATGGCCACCGTGCCGATGAATTCGGAGGACAGGTACGTGTACAGAGACAGCTGGATCTGCGGGGGACACGCACATGAGTTGCCGTTGCCGGGAGGAAACTTGTTCAAAAATACAAATTAAAAAGACAGAGAGAGCGAGAGCGAGAGAGAGACTGGGGGCAGCTTGGCAAATACAGAGATGGCAAAAAATATATATATATGTCGTCGAATTTGTGAATCCAGGGAAACAAATGGGTGGGGCTTTTAAGTATCAGCCACTTAAAAGTAAACTTCAGAAAGTATGAGCCGTGTAATTGTTCTTCACGCGACACTCCCCAAAACATTTCTTGGCTCCAAGTGTTGCTCGCTGCCACCATTTGACACCGGCTCGCGCCGCCGGCCAGCGCAGGAGACGGTACGGCGCGTCCTGAGGGACGGCGCCGCCCGTGGCGCTCAAAGTGCTCTCACCCACTTCATTACCTCATTGTTTGTCTCATTTTTCTCCCTCTCGCTCCGTCTGCCGCCGCTCCCCTTCCGAGGATAGTGGCAGGCCAGCCTCCAGACAATTTTGCATTTATTCACCCCCTCATATTTATTCATGGCGGGTCGCAGCAGCAGCAGCTGCTTTCTGGAGACAAGCGTGTTTCCAACACCGCTCGTGTGATAACTCCTTTTCGGAGCGACACGAGTTGGCCCGCCCGGGCTCACCTTGGCGGGGGTGTGGATCCAGATGGCGGCGTTGAACAGGATGTGGTCGCAGAGCTGCTTCAGTAGCGCCGCCCCGTACGGCAGGCCGTCCAGATACTTGGCGAAGGAGAGGAACTGCTCCAGCACCGACCTGCTGATGTGTGCGCGGGACGACTGTGGGAGGAGGCGACAAGGAAGTCAACGACTGACACGGAAAAGATAATTGCTCACGGCAAGAAAGTGGGACGCGACTCCACTGGTTGCCATTTTTCATTTCTTGTCAAATAAAGGCGAATCTAAAAATGAGAGACAATTACAGACAGCCTCCACAGATTCAAGGCTCGCTTTTCAAAATATTGCGGAAAAACTCATCCACTCCCATTTTGGCTCTGTCTTATCTAAGACAAGGTCTTGGCCACGTGCGGCTACAGAGCCGCATGTGGCTCTCGGCGGCTTTGGAAAATAAAATCATGACTATTTCATCGCGGTGCTCCATCGCTTCCATCACGATCGTCTGATTCAGTGAAACTCCTCTACAACGAAACCTTCATGGGTGAAAATACCCACTAGTGTGAAAAAAATCTTCATGCATTAACACCATTCCCACTTTCCTGCCACCCTGTGACTGTGTGTTTGTGTGTGTGTTTACATCTGAGATCAAATTTGCTACAGTGAAAAACCCCCTGTTGTGAAAAATTTCTTGCTGTAAACATGATTTTGTTGTAGAGGAGTTTCACTGTACATCGTCGACAGATGTCCATCAATGCCTTTCATTGCCAAACACAAAAAGCGAGAACCTGCGGCCCATACGTTGCAGCCTGCAGCCAACTGGAGAGTATCCTTGTGGGCGGTGTAGCGTCTCATTTTGGATCGATTCTTTGTCCCATTCAATAAATGGCTGAAAGCCCATCGGTGACGACGGCTCTCCTTGCCCACCTAGGAGGGCATGACAGGAGCGTAATCGCTCCCAACAAGTGTGACTTTGCATCGATGGTTCACATGCGCTTTGCCGACATCTGTTCTCTGCTCTGCTGGGGATCCGGCAAAAGACGGGAGGAGAGAAAAATGAGGAGACGGCAGAAGCGAGGGTGGCGGTTTAATCATATCTTGAACAGATGGAGCCATACGCCAGGGTGTGAAATCTGGCAGCGGGTCGCAAGTGAGGAAGGGGGCGGGGGAAAAAAAGGCCACTTCCACGCTGCCTGCGTGTGACTTTGTGTCAGCTGGCGAGGCCCCGACTGACAAAGTGGTGCGATTCCTCAGGAAAGCAGGCTGGGGAGTCTGCGTCACAACGGCGTCGAAGAGAAAAAAAAAAAAAAAAAAAAAGACAAATGTTTGCGTTACCTTTTCGAGCAGGTAGCCAATGACCAAGAAGCCTTTTCCGCCCAGCATCTGCTCTTGCATGGCCACAGAGCTCTGAAGCAACTCCACCAGGAAGGACAGGAGGGTAGCACTGCCAACAGAAAACCACGCACCAATTGCTTTGTTGGTTTATGGGTTTTGTTTTTTGTCCCCTTGAAAAGTTCAACATATTTTGCTTTTCTTTTTAGCAAAGTGCAATGTCAATGGTTGGTCTTCTGTTTCGGAAAATGGCACTTTTTTTGAAGCAACTTTTCTTTTTGGGAAAGTGCAACAGTAATTGTCTTCCTTTTGAGAATGTGCAACATCGGTGGTTTATTTTTTTTATTTTGGAAAGTGCAAAATCAAATCTTGTCTTTTCAGAAAGTGCAACTTTTTTTGTTTACTCTTTTGGAAAAGGCATCATCAATAGTTTATTTTCCTTTTGGTAAGTGCAACATTTTTTTTTTCGCACAGTGCAACATTAATTCAGTTTTCTTTTGGGATTTTTTTTTCAGAAACCATCACATCAAGTGTTTGATTGTATCAAAAGTTATTTTTCTTTTTTAGAAGTGCAACATCAACTGTCATCTTTCTTTTTTTTTGTAAGTGCAATATCAATTGCCTGTTTTTTTTTTAGAATGTTCATTTGTAGGACACCATCTGGGTTAGGAAACCAATCACCATAAGGATGTTTTGTTCAATTCTTCCCACTTCCAGCACCCATCGTCTCTCAAGTCTTCTGGACAAAACAAACCCGTCCGGAAAGACTCGATATGAATGCTGTTCTGAGGGACTTTCTGGAAAGAGGCTGATGTTGCTAATATGTGCGGAGAAGGTCACCTTAAGGGCTTCACGTGCGAGTAGAATGCAACGAGGAGCCACAAAAGGTCGGCTAAAGGCGCCTTCTCCATTGTTGCATTGATGCCTTTGGCTGAGTGACAGCGGCGGCGAGCGGCGCTCCGTCATCGGCTTTGCCGGGGCATCCTCCGGTGGCCTCCGCTCAAGCGCAACAATAACAAGGACACAATCGCTCCGGCGCAGGCTGGCCCGGAGATGCGCTGCGCGCATACAAAGTCGCGGCGCGGGAGCGTCGCCTCGTCTGTTTGCACCGCGCCAAGTCGCTCGTTCACTCGGATTAAAAAAAAAAAAAAAAAAAAAAAAATCAAATAAAAATGATGCATTCAGAAAGGCAGGAGTCTTGTAAAAAGATGACCTTCTCCAAGTGCAAGTCAAAGACAGAATGCCTCCGTGTCGTCTGCGTTTATCTCTCTCATGCTTTCTTGATGTGCAACTTTGTGTGCAGGATTAAGCAAAAAAAAAAAAAAAAATTCTCAGATAACATTTGTAGCTGTGGATCGAAGGAGTTCAAACCGACAAGTTAACCCCAGCAGTAAACAAGTAGGTGTTTTGCACCACAAAAAAATAAAATAATAAAATGATACATGTCTAATGGTGCAGCAGTTTGTGGCAAGCCTTTTCATGTTTTGTCAGTTTTGAATCACTTGGCAATGCTCATCACCGCCACCAAGAGGACTGGAGTGGAACATCATGGATTTGACAAAGGCCACATCCACACAAACACGGTCAAGTTGCACGAGGGCAGATTTAACAAAATTGTCACTTGCAAATAGTTTCAGTGATTATCCGAAAAATATTTTGGGATCTGTCACCGATGACAGTCCAGCCAAGTCCGTTTCTCTGAGGTTGCTATTGATAGGGACATTATGCGTTGGACTAAACTACCAAAAAGGTACGGTTGTTTTTTTTTCTTTTCTTTTTTTCCTCATACTGTATACGCAGTAGTGTGTTGCGGAAAGACTCTCCAAACGGCAGCGCCGGGAGGACAGCGAGCAGAGATAAGAGACGACTTCAGAGGCGGAGCGCTTTGGCTCGCGTGGGCTCTCTGGTCAAACTGTTGGCGCCGGACCAGCATGGAATCAGATCAGAGCTCCGGCGCCATCCGCGGCTCAGCTTTGGAGTGGCCGGCTCAGGAGGACGACGGCTCGCGACATTAGCCAATGAGAATCATCAACACATGGCGTTACTTTGCAAGATGGCGGTCCAGCGGAAAGTCCAACTGGCTGTTTGACGTTATTCTGAAACTAAATAAAACAAACATTTGATGGCGAGGGTATCTGTATGGCTCACAATGTACGAAGCAGCTACGTGTGGGGAATTCGTTTTCAGAAAGAATCACTTTTCAGAAATCAATCAACTTTCACTTGTGGAGGCAGCGCGTGTGCTCACCAGACGCTGGTCTCCACTTGGCTTTCATTCAACTGATGGTAGTCCAGCTGAGCAAAGAGTGGGAAGAGAACCTGGATGCCTCCGATGGAGTGGATGGCCCGGTGGATGGAGTGAGTCACCGTGGCTTTTACATCCTGGAAAAAAAAAAAAAAAAGAATCACGATCTAAGCTATATATCTCCATCCGAGTGGAAATGGCTCAGATGGCACCGCTGGTAGGTAAGCAAACTCTGGTCAGAAAACTGGCGAAATGGCTCCAAGCCTGACTTCCCTGCCGCCGGACTTGTAAACGTTGTGTGTGTTTGCAAAGAGTTTGAGTGACCTGAAGCATGAGCGCATGTGGCGAGTGCACAAAGATGGAGCCGTGCTCCTTGGGGGAAGACTCCAGACAGAGCTGCGCATCGGTGGCTTGGGCGTTGTAGGCCAGCGCCACGGCGCTCGCCAGCTTGCCGTCGTACAACACTTGCTTGTGATGCTCGGCGAGGTGGATGTCGCTCTCAGACTTGAACTTGAACGTGCTCTGGGGAAGAAAGGAAACCAAACGAGGGTGAAATTAAAATATCAGGAGAGGCGAATGAGGACGGGAGCCTCTGCGCTTTTCATGACATGCTCGCATTCACGTGGGTTGATTTCATTCGAAACGCACGCTTGCGTATGACAGTTTACCCAAAAGACATTTTCTGGATAGCCGCGCGCGTATCGACTCATCGACCATTTGACATATTGGAAAAACGGGACACCGGTTAGCGCTGCATCCTTAAATACTTTTGACAAGCCAACAAAATATGGACTTTTATTTATTTATTTTTTAATATAGCTTCGAGCAATGATGTAGGGGCACGAACGCCTCCTTTTTCATGGCGGCGACTCAAAATGGTCATTTTCTCCTTGCCCCTCCTCCCTGATCTGGAGAGGGGGGGGTGCTAGGTGATGATAAGCCCATTGGATGTCGCTGTACGGATTCCGCCCCGATCAACATGGATATGATTTGCGCCGACGCAGTTGGAAAAAAGCTCGGTCGACCACTCGGAGGCGCTGCTCGGAAGATGTCTTCATTGGGTTCGGAGGGGGGCCCGCCTCTCGCCCTGCAGCCCTTTCATCTTGTTAAAGGGACTTTGATCTCGTTCGAACTAGCATTGGACACAACAATAGTGGGTACAATTTGCCCGCTCGGCATCCACTGCAGCCTGGTCAGCCGGTTGGCGATGAAAATAAATGTGACTTGACTTGACATGTGACACCATACCCAATTTATTGTCGTGCATCCGTCTAGGATACATGCGTGCAAACGGGGCTCATTTGTACAAATTCCCAAACAGACGTCAAAGTGCCCCTGAGCTTGCATCAATGTTTTTCAGGGTTTGGTCACGTGACGTTCACAACGTGAGCCCGAGGGTACTCTGACGTCAATTTCAGACAACAGTAGGCGGGGGTATAATGTCAAAATGGCAGCCAAGCTTGGTAACAGACCAAATTACGTTTCTGTCTTGAGGCACTGCTGTACTTTTTTTATGACTTTTATGACTTGAGCAAAGCAGTACTTCATCGCTTTGGACCTGAGCACCAAAAAAAAAAAAAAAAAACAACAACAAATGCAGAAAATAGGTTCTAAAAATTTTTCAAATGTGTGAATTTGCAAATGCCAGACTGAAAAGATTAACGGCTTCACAGAACATTTGTCGGCTAGACTTGTGAAGCATATGTAATAATACGGATCTGTCAGAGCATTTTATGTTGCTGGATTTTTTTATGATGCATTACTCTTGCATTTTGCTCGGCATATTGTGCATTTGCATTTAAAATTGTGTTTGCCACCTATTGCGGATCCTGAGACGCATTGCCGGCGCAAGACCAATGACTTTTTTTCTATTTTATATTTCAAATCGTGGAGACAATACAATAAAATAATCTGAAAACAAAGTGCGATCTTATTTCACAAATACATTGATGTATTAAAAAAAAAAAAAAGTAAGAGAAACTAATCTCATCTCAGACTATTTCAGCGAGAACACACGTGAACATAAATCAGCCGCTCGTCAACAAAAGCAGACGCCCGTTAGGTGTCGAGAACGAAAGGAGTTCATCATCAGAGTGGCTTCCCGGCTGCGGAAACCCCCACAAAGACTTTGCCGGAACACAAGCTGGAGTGTTGAACCGCGTCTGACGTTGTCTTTAAGCCCGCCGATGAAAAAGCGTCAGGGTGAATTTTGTGCTCAACTGCCGCGATCAAGATGGAAAAGAAGGCGTCGCGCGTGCCATCGCCGAGTCTCTCGCATCTTTTTCAAAAGGCGGCGACTGGCGACGCCGTCCATGTGTGGAAGTAATGAGCTCAGAAGCTGTGGCTGAAAAACAGCCGGAGGCATCGGAGCAGGCAGTCCATTGGCCACCGAGTCCCGCCCCCCCTCCTCCAAAAAACCAAGACTCCAGAGTGTATTGAGTCACTTTCTGTCCTGTTGCCAGAGGCCACCGTTGATTGCGGAGCTTTATCCCTGTGATGCACTCCAAGGAAAAGTTCACTTGACAAAGCCGAGAATTGAACACCAGTGAAGGGGGGGGCAACGTGAGTTTCGTGGAACTGACAAGCCAGCAAAAGACGAAAAATCTCAGAGGTACGACAAGGCAGATGTGGTCCAACGAGGGCATCCTGCACAGACGGTGCCGTGAAAAAGTATTTGCTTCCTTCCTGATTTCCGTGTTCCAAGCATTTCACATACAACAGGTTGCAGTTCATCAACCCAATTTTAATATCACACAGAGACAACCCAAGGAAATACAAAATGCAGTTTCTTAAATGCCAATTTAATTTGTTAGGGCACAAAAAAAAAATCCAAACCTACCTGTCACGATGTGAAAAACTCATCCCCCCCCCCCCCGAAACTACTACTGATTTGTTTTATGCAAGTGCAATATTGTCCCCTTAAGAAAAAAATGCAGCGTCAGTTCGAGGCAGGCAGTTTGAGGAGTCTGACTTTCTACGGTATAAAACAACTGACTAAGGCTATAGCTAGCCATGTCATCCGCTAGCCAGAGGTTTAGCTGAACTGTGTTTGTTTACGGAGAAGCAATTGACAATGTGTTAAGATCAATTTGTGGACTGAGCTTTTAAAAAACGTTGACACAAGCGGAATACATCGATTTTTTTCAGTCCCCGCCTCAATTTGCCAGCTAGGCAGACGCGGCATTTCAAGATGCAAAACAAGCCACTGCAATTTGTTTCAAGTTGAGAAACCACATTGCGCGCGTGTGCTAAATTCATCAATTTGCATCCACGCCGCCCCCAGGACATGCCTAAATGAGCTGTGCGGCAGCGTTGCCCGTCACCTCCCACATCTGTTTGCCTGAGCAATCAAGTTCGCGTCTCGCCGCCCCATTTCTTTCGAACTCAAACTCGGTCATCTTTGTCTACGGCATCCGGCGCTCACGTAGAGACAATCCGCCATCCAGTCAACAATCAGCGCCATAAAGCGAAAAGAGCCCTTGAGCGCTTCGCGAGAGGATCCGTCATGTCATGGCTTCATTGTTTTGAGCGGCCAAAGCAATGAGCAATAGTTTGCGGCAGTGCTTTGGGGCTGGCAGCGTCCCAGAACTTGAAATTCACCCTCGCTCCAACCTTGAAACAAATAACATACATAAGCAGGAGATCATTTGTGGGCTTTTTTTTTT